CCAGCAAAGCCAGCCCTTGGACAGGCTGGGGGAGGCATTTAAATGTATCCCCGATCCTTCCAGGGGGGCCCTGCCCCCCACCTTGGAGTCACCAGGGGGGCGGGTGTTTGCTCTCCAGGCCTTCCCTCTGTAGCCACGCACACAGAGGTTTTGGCTGTAGTGGGCGTGGCCAACTCTGAAGCTAGCTGGAACTCCGTTCCTGCCCAAAAATAGCCCTGGAAGAATGGAAAATTTGAGTCAAGATTCCCAAGTGAGGACAACTTCCAAAACAATAATTGTATTAATTTTGGTGAAGGTAACTGACCCAATCCTGTGACAAAGGGTATTTCCCCTCCATTACTTGGGTCTGTATGATTGCCATATAAACGAATTAAAGCTTCCACGGATCTTCTTGTCACTACATGGTAAAACCACTGATTTAAGCACTGCCGAAGGAGTTCTATGTTCCAATTTATAGGCGACCCTATGAATTAAAGCTATCATTAACAGCCTTGCTCAGGTCTTGCAAACAAATGACTATGGCTTGCTTTATAAAGTCAATCCATTTCTTCTTGGGTCTTCCTTTTTCCCTGCTGCCTTCCACTTTTCCTAGTACTGTCTTTTATTTTTTGGCTGAGCCTGGGCTAAATTGGGAAGCGCCCTGCTCATTCATTTGGGAGCCCATGCCGCCAATCAGACTTCCTGATACTTTGTGAGGAATGATTTCTGAAGCCACGCAGAGAGCAGAGTCAGCCAATCCATTTGCCCCAGTGTTCCCTCTAAGCTGAGTTAGTGTGAGCTAGCTCACAGTTTTTTAGTCTCCGGCTCACACATTTTTGCCTTCGCTCAGGAAGGATGGCTCCAGAGCAAACTAATTTATGCAGTAGCCCAATCACTTGCTCACAACTTTAATGCCAGCAGCTCACAAATAGAATCTTTGCTCACAAGACTTCACAGCTTAGAGGGAGCATAAGGAGTTTACAGTATTTTCCATTGCTCTGAACTCTCAAAAGGAGGATGTAACAGGGATTCCTCCCCCCCTCCCCATTGCAAAAGTGTAGCAGAGAACAATCTGTAGACCAGTACCAGATGGCAGACTAGCATTTCCAAGCCAGGCAAAGCCACACCTAAATCACAAGCTGCCCAGCTGACTACGTCCCCCCACCTGGATAGCAGCAACTGAGTTTCTTCTGAGCTGCTGATGCGGTGCCTTTTCTGGTGCGAGGCTTTGGTGGTGTGGTGGTCACATTGGTGGCTGGAGGCTCGCTGTTCTCACCAGGAAGGTAGGTTTGGTAGCCGTGTTCAAAAACAAACTCTGGTGCAGAAACTGGAAAATATATGGACGAGAAAGATTAATTTTCCAGCACCTAAACATTGCAACAGGGCATAGTGTCTACAGCAACAAAAGAAGAGCACTGCTGGGTCAGCTCAAAGGTCCGCCTACAGTTTCCAGCCAGACGCTTCCAGGGAGGAAGAGGAGGAGGAACCCTGACCTGAATAGCCCTGGCAAGCCCAGTCTAGGAAGCTAAGCAGTGTTGACTCTGCCAAGTACTTGGATGGGAGACCTCCTTGAAATACCAAAGGCAGTAGGCGGGGGCAGGCTTTATTTATCCACCTCTCTGAATATCCTCCAGCTCCCCAGAAGGGGTCAGTACCATGACTTCCAGGTCCACACAGAGTCAGTCACCAGAGGTCACCATGGCTTCCAGGTGCACATGCACATATACAAAAAATTTTTAAAAAGAAGACAAAGATGAAGAAGATGGAGAAGAGCTCCCCTCCAAGCTTCACCTTCCTGCAACTGGTATTCAGCGAGACTGTCTCTGAAGAGGGAGGTTCCATTTAACCAGCCCTGTCTTCCATGAATCTCTCAGGTCCCCTTTTAAAGTGACCTAAGCCAGTGGCTATCGCCACATCTCATGGCAGTGATTCCATAATAATGATATTGTGTGAAGAAGTTCATCACTGAGTGTCACCTAATGCTATTTATGTATTCCATTTTTTAATTTGCTGTCAGTTCACAGCTGACACGGCAACCCCGTGGGGGTTTCAAGGCAAGAGAGGTTCAGATCAGAGCTGCCTCTGCATAGCAACCCTAGTTGTCTCCCACCCAAATCCGAGCCAGAGCCGACCCTGCTTAGCTTCTGAGATCTGCCAAGACTAAGCGAGCCTGGGCTATACAGGTCAGAGCATTTTGTTCCCAGCCCGCCTTTCTTGTTCGGACTCAAGGCAACTTATGTAATGCAATGAGAATCTATACTGCCAATCAACTGGAACAAATATGTCAGATCATTCTGTAGTTGCTAATTCTGCTCTTGGCACTGAAACAAGAAGATCATCCTTTCCACACACACACCGGCACATTTCCTTAACAATGAGAGAAACAGCCCAAATTTCACCAATTAAACTCTCCAGGAGCTCAATCAGAATGATATGAAGCTTGATCTACAGATGCAGCAGAATAGGGGCTCCCACATCAGGCTATGGGCAGGAAGGGAACACGTCTAATATTTTCCATGCCCAAATTCCCTGCCCCGCCCCCCAAATTAGCATTACCACGGAAAGTTCTACTCTTCCACTTGCAAGGACCTATACAGGGAAGTTTTGAAAAATGAAATCACTCGCCTGCAACCCGAAGGGGGCACAGATAGAGAGCACGGGGGTGGGGTGGGGTGGGAGACTACTGTCAATCAATGCTGTTTCCCACTCCCCACCCTCATTTTCCCACCATTGCTCCACTGAGTAAGGGGTAGGGAACTTTAGTGGGAGGTTGCCCTCTGGAAGCAGGTACGTGGTAACCATAGGTACAGCCCATTCTACTCTGCTGGTGTTTTTTTATGGCCTGATTTTTATGATTTTTATACTGTTTTTTCTATGATTTTATCATCTTAGGGAGCTGTCCTGAGGTCTCAGGGGAGGCAGCATTTAAATTTTCTAAACATAAATAAACATACCACCACAGTCTGCCGTGTGTCTAGGCCAGGCACCTTTAAGACCAAGTTTTATTCAGGTACAAGCTCTCCCTCCTCTCTGCGAGGACAGATCTGCACATTCCCTCCCCCAATAGCTAGCAATCCAAAACAGTCCAGTGGAGCCTGAGTGGTGGGTGATGTCAGGGGGTGTGGCATATGCAAATGAGCTATGCACCTCTTTTTCTACGAAATGACCCCTGACTGTCTCTATGATTTCATCATCTTAGGGAGCTGTCCTGAGGAGGTCTCAGGGGAGGCAGCATTTAAATTTTCTAAACATAAATAAACATACCACCACAGTCTGCCGTGTGTCTAGGCCAGGCTCAAGAAAAGCTGGGATCCTATGCATTTTAGATGTGATCATGTCCCCCTCAACTCAGTAGGGCTTGTTTCTCTCTAAGTATGAACAATCAGGTTTTGCATCCATGAATCAACATGGGGGGGGGGGGGGTTTTTAAAAAAAAAA